ATGGCACCAATGCCCAGGTTCTGCGCAAGAAATGGCCTCCGATTGGTTAAAGTTGGTTGGGTTCCAAGACGGGGGCTGGCAAGGATTGGGGCGCGCATCAAAGACATAGAAAGACATCAGGTCAGGTCATCAATATGAACTGGTCTCAAAGATGATTAGTGGTTGGTGGTTTGGAACATGGCTTTTATGACTTTCCATATATTGGGGGATAATCATCCCAACTGACTAATATTTTTCAGAGGGGTTGAAACCACCAACCAGGAACTGGTCTCAAAGATGATTAACTTGAGGTCATTCTTATGGGTATCTTCAAAAACTTAGCGCCCAAAAACTATAACCTCTCGAGCCTGAACTAAGCCAACGAGGCGACACTCATTTTCAGAAACCACCACAACATGGAATTCCACTGGCGATCTATGCGGAGCCGCAGTACATGATCATCATCCCAATTTTGGGAACCCCGGAGACTACAGGTGACTGTCCCCCGATGCCGGTGGTTGAGAAACCCCCAAAATCTTTAGTCTTGGCAAACCAAACGGGTGACTGAGGGATTCTGAGATCTTGCACATGTCACTTATCATTTGAGAGAGGTGGTCATTCAAGCAGTTCCGGCTGACTCTCCACTGAAAGACCCCCCTTGGTCGGCTTGTAATGAACTTTAATAGCTCTCATAGTCAATAGTTCTTTAAAATTTCTTAAATATTTTCAGGGCTTTTAGATGCATTTAAGGTTTTCCACGGCTATCTATTTCAAGCCCTTTTTTCTTGTACTTTGTTTTGCGCTCTTGGTCAGACCCCGGGTCGGCTACATTTTTCAAACAGTGGGATGATTCAACCATGCTTCACGGGTGGCTTGGTGATTGGAATCCCACAGGCCCTTGATGAAACCTTAGGTTACAGGGAATTCTGCTCTCGCGTTCGAGAGAATCCAAACCAGCAAGCCGAACACCACAACGCCAGTTCAAATTATGTATAAGCTGATAAGTGGGATCATACCCCCGATGAATAGGGTTGAACGATAGTTGAGGACCTCAAATTTCCACCGGAACCATATGTGTTGCTAGTAGAAATCAAGTGTTCAGGAATCCACCATTTTTGGACATGTCCACTCATTGGTATGGGCCAAAAGCGGGCACCCCCAAAACATGTTGGCACCGCTAATGCCTCAAAATCGACTATACTCACAGCGGTGGCAATATATGTCATACATGTCATACACTTCGTTTCGCTTGGTTGCCACACCTGTGTCCCTTTGTTACTTGGTGGGGTCACCGGTCAGGATGGTGGGAAACCCTAATGGCGCGCCCAATTGGAGATTATTCACAAGAACCATCAAATGTTAAGTCAGTGGGCATTGGGTTTGGTGTTTGGCAATGTGTTTACGACATGCCCCCCACAAATGGAAGAGGATTTGATTTTTTGGGAGCACGTACCTTTTCATCAGAAAGGAGCACCCTGCTGCTGAGGCGCGTGGCAATACGAGCCACGAGAGTCTGCGAGCTCAGTTGGGATCGGGATGATGCTTCTTAAAGCAACAACAGCAACAGCAACAGCGACAGCAGCAACAACAACAACAACAACAACAACAACAACAACAACAACAACAACAACAACAAGAACAAGAACAACAACAAGAAAAACAAGAACAAGAACAAACGGGTAGAGATGAGCAGTGTTCAAAACTCCGGTTGGTTGATAGGTGATTATACTAGTCAAGATTCTTTGGTGAATATCACAATCCATGAACACGGGATCTCATTCTCAACCAACCACAACAACAAACAGGTTAGTGGTTGGTGGCCTCGGCGACTTGTATTTTGGTGACCAAAAACGGTACTTCTTCGGCAACTTTGACAAACATGGGTACGCCGGTATGCCCAAAAATATGACCAAATATATTGGTCCCAAAAATATGACCCCCCCCCAAAAAATATATATCATGGTTCTGGATGGTTATTGGTAAATGTCACACTTTTCACCTCTTCGTCTCCCCTATTGTTCCCTCATTCCTCCTTTCATTGTCAGTAAAAATCCATGACGAGGATGATCCCCAAGGATTTTTCACTGGGCATTGGTTCCGCATCAAAACAAGTGATATGGTTGACTTCGAACTGATGAACAGATGTGTTTTTTCCACTGATTTTTGCAGGTACCCGATGTTTTTTGTTTTTTTTCCGGATATTCTCTGGGTATGGCAACTGAACATATGGGGTATCGCCATGTATCGCCATGCATCGCCGGTATCGGTATCAATGGAACCATACCTGGCTGGTCAAGACTGGTGAACCATCGCCGTGTGAGGCGTAGCGGCCCTGACAGTAGATCCACTGCAAGGCTATTCCGGCTCCGACGTCTGGAGCCAAAACGAGCCAAAAAGTGGGTGTGTTGGATGACGAATTAACCTCCACAGGATCTCTTGCATTTTGGATTTTCTAAAATAAACCGTCCATTTAGTTCAGGGAAATCCAATTGCCATGCTTACCGGAGGGTACCCTCAAACTTGGATTTAAATTCGAAAGGACCAAACCATTGGTGGTTTCCTGGGACTGGGTTGTTGAAACCATTGTAATTCGCCTTGAGAACATCAGTGCTGTGCACCGGTGAACTTGTATTTAGATGGTTTTTAAGTGCTGGAATTTGGTGAAAACCTAGGTACGATTGGGTTTTGACCCACCTCTCATAACTAGTGAAAAAAAAACAAGAAAAAAATATGGAAACAACCATCTGTGGTGATTTCAACAAAAGAAAAAACAGCGAAACACTGGTAGGAACCTTAAAATCCCTCAATTACTGGTAAACAACATGGTTTCCAGTGATGTTTTCCCCTAAATCAATCCATCCACTGACCAGCTTTACACCGGTCATGAGGTCATCGATCGCAACGTAGAGGATCAGTACTTGCATCGTGGCGGCGGGGGAACCCAACTTTCGGCCAATGTCAAGCGGATTATTTTTTGGGGAATCTGATCCCGTAACCGAAAATAGTGGAAAATCACCATTTATAGTGGAACATCATCATTTATAGTGGATTTACCCATTAAAAATGGTGATTTTCCATTATCTATAACTGGTTGGTGGTTTGGAACATGAATGGATTATGACTTTCCATATATTGGGAATGTCATCATCCCAACTGACGAACTCATATTTATCAGAGGGGTAGGTTATACCACCAATAAAGATAATAAAGATGAGGATATGATCAACTTGAATACAGATCGTTGAATCTGACATTATCCCAAGATTGGGAAAAACAAACAATAGAGATGGGGATATGAATAGGATCCGCAGCATGTAAAAGGATATCTTCTTCCATTTCACTCAGCAGAAGTTGTCAGATGCTTTATATATCGTGTGGGACAACAAAAATTGGCTCACCTGCACCATGGGTGTCTGAAAATCCCCAACATGGCCATTGAATGGGATGATTACCAACCATGGGGTTTCGGGATGTCCACTCCTCAGACAGACTTTTTTTTTGCGGACCCCAAAAAATGTCCCGATTGAAAAAAAACAGGTCCTTGCGCCTCCAGATTGCCTGTATTCCTTGTTTGTTGTTTAAGTCCACATCTTCTGGAGGTTGCCTAAGCAACAATGGCTCAGTGGAACAAAGAGATCCGGTTTTCGCCATGTGGTTTTTAGCTGCCATAAACAGCCATAAACCATTTGGAGGTTTCCTAAAATAGGGGTACCCCCAAATCATTCATTTACAGATGGATTTTCCATTGTAAATCATCCAGCGAGCTTGGGGTACCCCCATTGATGGAAACCACCATTTGAGCTTTTGTTGAAACACACATTGGTGGGATTGGAAAGCCAGGTCTGGGAGATGAAGGTCTTTGAGTGGCAGATAGATGGCTGTGTGTCAAAGGTAGCCCTGGGTTGACATCCAAAATAGCGATTTATGGGGCTTCATCTCCCCCAACTGTGGTATACGGTATAGGTTTCACATGGTTTCATAGATTTTCATAAAATCCATTCCCCAAGTAGGAAAGTTTTTGGCACGACATGTTGGAAGACTGGCGAAGGAAATCAATGAGTGACATTGTAGTAGAATTTTCAGGTAGAAAAGTACGCAAGAATTCAGCTTTTCGATGTTTGGAATCGGTGTTCAGCTTGTGTCAAGTGCTCAATCTGGAGCGGAAGCCGCAGCCGCAAAGTGAGAAGAAAAGTGACCTCCTTGTGAGTCTGGTTGCGGGGAACTGGTAGCAATATTTGGACCAAGTCAGAACAGGTGCAGGTGGAAGTAAGATAGCCATGATTCTGTGAGGAACACGGGTGGCATTGAACACACGGACCGGTAGATTCAATAGATCCAAAGAACCGAATGCGTAGGGAACTATCAAAAGAAGTCGTTTTCACCGTTTGATGTTTTACACGTTGCGACAATTCGTCTGTACCGCTTTTTGTTCCGGGTGATTTGTTTTGTGCTTCTGGATGTTCTTGCCTCCGGTCAAAAGCTGTGTGGCTTAAGGAACCGCATCATTTCTGACCAACCAAGAGATACAAATGCAGCCAGATACTGGTGGGTCAGATGGACACCAAAGTAGAACCAACTCATCTTCAGACTCTGAGAATGCAGTCCACCAACTCTGGTAATGTTGGTAAAACAATCATAAACCACCCATGACAGGGAATGGTAACCATACCACCTGTAAAAATGGTGATGACTGGGGGATGGTGCAGATGGCACTGTTTTATCCACATTAGTGACTTTTCCCGGAACCTTTGGGATCTTTTTGATCCCACCCAAGTGGACGGAAGAACTTGGGAGATTCACCGAGCACCCAGCGGCCGGACGCGAGCCGAATCCTGCCAACAAGAGCCGAATATGATCGGTCACCACTTTCTCAACTGGGACGTACCTCCCCAAAAGATCCCAAAAGTATGAGATATTCATGGATATTCAGCGGATTATTCTGGACATTACCCAACAACTGGTAAAAATTGGTTACCTGCAATGCCTTCAATCTCCTTCAGCATCTTCAACCTCCAACGTTGCCAACGTGGTCCCCTCAACCTGCCATGGCGCTTTGCGGGCCCTCGCGCGATTCCAGCTTGGATGTGGCGTCCCAAGCTCGCAGGACTACATATTGCTACACTAAAGTATCCTCTGGTAGACTAACATGACTATAGAAAGTCACCATTTTTAATAGGTAAACCATCTATAAATGGACCATTTTCCATAGCTTTTTGTATGTTTACCAGAGGGTAATTGCCTTTAAAAACAGACTCTAAGACTGCGCCAGAAAGTCAAGATTTTTATGGAATCTCGAGATCAAATACCAATTTCTGGCCACGAGCCTGGAGGATATCTGAGGGAAATTACACATATTGAAACTGTGTCAATGATATATGTGTGCATTCCATGTGTACTCTGGAAGATGACTCGAATAATCGAATGATTCACTTACAAAGTGGATAATTAATAATGATAATAATAATAGTATATAATAATAGTATATAATAATAGTATATAATAATCATATAGATAGTTCATTCCTGTTCAATCAACTAATAATAGCCAACAAAATCTGCCAATTCCTGAGTCTCATCAAAGACCTGGCCAGGAGACGATGGTGGAGCCTTTCCACCCTCGGCCACTCAGCGGACGGGGATTGGAGGAAACACCCCAAAGTCGTTCAACATTTCTGATTTGGGAATTGAAGATATTGAAATCATTGGCCCAGCAATATCTTAGAATTGGTACTTGGCAATCTACTGTACTATCTCCTGTTGATGTCTGAGCTGCTTCTGGGAGGCACCAACCAGAATAGGAGTCCCCAATCAGTTCCTCCTTGGATATGGGTCAAGTGGGTACTCCAAAGATACGGAAGAAATCCTGCACCAGTTGGTAGATGCTTGATCTCCTTATAATCCCATTATTTACAATGGTCCCGTATTTTTACCGAGCTACAGAGAGTTGCTAAAGTCGTGCCCAGATTAGTGGGAATCGTTGAAAATAGCTTGGGAGCACTTGATTTTCAAAAGTCGTGCCTTTTTGTGAATCGCATAGGAAATGCATGATTTTCTTGTTTTCATGTTTGGATGATTTTATATAAATCCTGCGTTGAGGTGGTGTTTGGCATGTCGGTTGAAAACTTCACATTTGAGTTACTTATGACTTTGTGCGTAGCCATTTCTTTGTTTGTGCTCAACATACTAGAAATCTCATGTTGTTGGGCCATCAGGTGGGGAGTGGCTTTTCCTAGGCGAAACATTGACGTCGCTTGGACGTCGTTCGGGCGTCGTTTTGACGTCGTTTTTTTCTGCTATATATCATATCCCTTATCTCACTATAGGTTTACTATCTTTGAAACTTCCGCCACCGCCTTGTGCGGTACTACTGGTATCAGTTAATCAAAATGAAGCAAAGATTTCCGCTGCATTTAGATGGGTGAAAGCAGATTTTCAGCACACAGGCGTTACTTAGGCATGAGTTTCGCGCTTTCCTGTACCCTGCCTGGTGCAGGATTTCGCAACACAGTAGCATCAATCCACAGAGCCACGGCATAGCCTTTTTTCTGTCGAGTCAGATCCTATTTTTGGTCAAGCCTCCCAATTTTGGTCAATTTTCGCAAACCAAAAGGTCAGATCCAATAGAACACTACGAAGCATCCAGTTTTGGCTGCTTAAGAGATCCCAAATTTCACATCTTTTTAACACATCACTGGCTCCTCTGATTTTGGTTTGAGGTTTGCTGGGTGCTCCTGTCTTCGTTCACATGAGGGCGGGACCAGGAGCCTTGGCACACTTTTGATGGTTGGGGGGTGGCACCACCCAATTCAATTGGGAAAACCCTTGGTTTTGGGGGGTACCACAACTGTCAGAAACATTCATATAGTGGGATCAACGTACATTTGTACGAAAATTTCATCGTTTTAGTCTCAATAAACTGACCATTAGCTATGGAGAATGGCAGATTTGTATAGATCATTGATGATTTATGTATTAAAGCTGGTGATTTTCCATAGCAACGTTAACATATACCAATACGAACCAATCAGTAGGAAACAAGGTTTTATACCTGGACCAATGTTTGTGGGTTTTGTCCTGTTTTAATCCCAATTTTTAACCTTAACCAATCATGGTTTATCCACCCAGGAAAAGGGTTGTTTTTCCAGGACCTTCACGAACTTTGCTGCGAGTTCGACCAGAATTGCTGGACAACCAGGCACTGGAGATGTCGGGGCGAACCATTGAATAAGTGGAGATTCATCCATTACCCATATATAATCCATGTACAGCCATTTGGCTATAGATCGATAGCTATTAATACCATCTTTAGGGGGATGAACATCCATAAATCCCAGCTATTTTAATGTTCACCAGGGGTACAAGGTTTTGACCCACTGCCATGTATAATTCATGTATAATTCATGTATAATCCATGTATAATCCATGTCTCATGCATTTGTAGCCTATTGATTAGCCGGGGATTTTCGCTGAAGCCCTGAAGGATTCACTGGTTGGTGGGTTAGTAGGTCCCCAATTCGTAGCTTAAGCCATCTAGAAATGGCTTAGAATATAGCTATGGTTATGATTTATAGTTGTATATGTTGTATTATTATACCCATTTATAAGCCATACTATAACCATAAAGGCTTATTTAGCCAACCTGTTGGGTTATCAACCACTTCCTAATTGGGATGATCGAGACCAAGAACCCGGCTGGTCAGAGGCTGGTCATGTTGTAGACTCAATACCACGAACCACGAACCACAAACCATTCCCAATGAAAAACCCTCTGGTAAACTAAGTGACATAGCGAACTGGAAAATCACCACTTTTCATAGATAAATCAATGATTTCGACTGGGCCATTTTCAAGTTCGCAAAGTGTTAGATTACCAGAGGGTACTATAAATGGGTTGGATTCCAATCATTCACATTTATGGGTGGTGGTGCGAATGGCATTTGGGGTTACCACCTTTGATTGACCTAAACTTTTTTCAACTCCAACGTCTCCAAAGGGACATGCTGGAGATTTTTACCACGCCATAGCTGTTTTATGTGTACATGGTGGTTTCCAAAAATGGGGGTACCCCCAAATCATCCAAGTCATGACCATGACTTAGTATTGAAACCTCTGCTGACTTGAGGATCCCCCATTTCAAGAATGCATATTCCCTAATTTCAGGCCCACTTTTGCTGGGCTTCCGTTAATAACTTTCTTCTCACCAGGCAGTGGACGAGATGGTCACCTACCGCAGCATGAAGGAGCGACGGCTGCGACAAGCTTCGCATCAGTGGCGGAAGGAGGGCATCAACTGGACCGAGGAGGAGGAGGAAACGATGGATGATGAAGCTTGATGTAGCCTCTGGTAAACTAACATGGCTAGGGAAAATCACCATCTAAAGATAGGTAAAGCAATGAACTTTCGATAGCTATGTTAAATGACCAGAGAGTAATTTTTGGTTGGTTATGATGGGAAATGATAATGGGTATATAGTGGACAATAATCTGAACATAACCTTGAGAATTTAACTTAATGTTAACTAGTTGGATAACGTCTAATAATTCAACATAGTGATGGAAAATGGGAACATGGTAAAAATAGGTAAATCATCCACAAAAGGGTAATTCTCCATGCTGGTCATGTTCCGATAGCAAAATCTTTGGGGAATGGCATTGGAAGGACGATCCACTTGACTTCAAGTTGTGCGGGTTCAAAAGTATATGGATGCCATGGTCTTCACCGAAAAAATAGAAGGCTTTACTGAAACCTTTTGCTTTTTGTTTACTGGGGATTCATCCAAATGTTGGATGTTGGGTAGGTGGCTGTGGCTCTGAATTTGAGGTCCAGGGGTCAACTGGTCAACTGATTTTCTTCTTTTCTGACACATCAAGCATCCAATTCTAGTTGGTGGTTTGGAACATTTTTTATTTTCCATTTCATATATTGGGGATGTAATCCTTCCCATTGACGAACTCATATTTTTCAAGATGGTTATTGCACCACCAACCAGAATTTTTCGGGTGCAGAATTGTCGGGTGCCCAATCGATTATGGATAATTATGGTCTATCTACAGTCTATTCTTGCAGCACTTGGGATGGAAACAGAAGGCTCCCACTTTGAAATGACCCGCCGCACTGTTGAAGATATAGCTATCTTGGTTGGATGATGATGGAAACCAGGCTGTCAAACCAGGCAGGTTGGTGGTGCCTGTCTTTTTTGGCATTACAAATAATAGGATACCCCTAAAATTGACCATAGTCTAGAACCTCATAGCAATTTTGGGTCAACCGGACAACCCCCATGTTTTCGCTCAGGATTTTGTGGCGAACTTGAAGCACGGCACGAATCTCCTGCTGAACGGCGCCAAGGAATTCCCCCCTTGGGCCGATGTGCGCGCGGAGCATGCGGAGCGCGGGCACGAGTGGATGGAGAAATTTTCGGTGGATGACATCTGGAGACATCACTGCGTGGTTCCCTATGTGCCCGTGGCTCATAAATTTCCCCCCAACTATTGGGATGGTTTCTATACTGTATATATGGTCCCGTCCTCCGTCTCTCCACCCCCCCCCATGGGTTGGGTCCCCAGGTAGCAGCCCCAATTCCCTTCTATTTGCAAGCTATTGGCAGCATTTCTGAGGTCCAGCTTCGTATTTGCTAGGTCTTTGCAGCATTTCTGACTACCAGCCTCGCATTTACTAGGTACATGCTACCTTTTAGGCGACCTACGTAGCACACATACTCCTTCAAAGTACCTACGTGCTACCTATAGTCATATATACATGTGCTATGCATCTACTGTATCTACTTCCTACTTACTACCTGTGTACTCTGACAACACTACCTGTGTTTAACATATACCGTACCTACCATACATGTCAATGATGCCATGCATACCATACCTATCATATCTATCATACATACCATAAGTGAAGTTTCTGGTCCATTGGCATGTCATTTCATACAGGTGTCACACGTCGCCAGACCGAGATTCCGCAGGGCGCCTTTGAGCATATCAAACCGAGTTTGGTAGCGGAGCCTCTGCGGAGGCTCCCTACCAGGGTCGCTATAGGCCCTCGCTCGTTGGCTGCTGCCTGTTCTTCAGGCTGCCACGTGAGCGTGGCTGGTGGCTCTGGTGGAGAAGGAGCTCTACTACCAGGGGCGCTACTTGGTGAAGGAGCCCAACCTTTCTGAGGAAATCTTTGGCATCCTTGGCAATCAAAGCTGGTGAACTGGGTCTTCAAGCTGCTGCGCTGCGCTTTGGCGATCTCGCAATCAGTGCATGCGGTAGCGAACATTGCCTACAACGACTTCCTTGGTGCTGCAATCAGTGCTGGTCCTCTTGCTCTACTGCGAAGCCTCTGACGGCGGAGCACGACGTGGAACCTACATCCTGGACATCATGAATGAGGCTCCAACAGGATCGGGGTCGATACCACTCCAAGAGTATCGACGTGAGATACCGCCGGGGTGGCAGCCAAATGACCCGGCGTATCCACTCCGCTCATACTTTGACAGGTTGAGATTGTGGTATCGCATAGCGAATCTCCCCGACGAGGCCATTGGACCTACCATCGCTGGCAGGCTCTATGGAAGAGCCCATCGAGTCGCTATGGGACTCCGGATACCACGTCCAGATGGAGGACATGACACAGGAGACGCTGCTCTGGTGAGACTGGAGGTGGATGAAGTGAGAGACCCCAATACGGGGATGGTCATACAGGCTCATGTGCCGAGTGGCGTGCAGCACTTGACAGCGGCACTTCGGATGGCTTTTGGCCAACAGGACCAGGACCTTGCAACCCAGTCCCTGGAGAAGTTCTTCGGACTTGCCAGAGGACGCTTGTCACTGCAGGAGTACAGCGTGGAGTTTGACGCCCGCTTCGACGAGGCATCAGATCGTGCAGGACTTCAGATGAACGAGGTGGCTCGATTCTTCTTGTTCTTCAAGCACAGCGGCCTCTCAGCGAAGCAGGTGGATGACATCAAGCTCCAGGTTGCCGGTGACTTCACAAGGTTTGCAGAAGCCCGAGCACTGGCATTGCGGCTGTCCTCCAACAAGCAGGACAATGACAACATGGACAACTACTATGCCCAGGACTATCACCAGGAGTATGCCGACACGGACAACTATGGCGAATGGATGGATGAGGAGCTCTATGACCATGACGACTATGAGCATTCCTGGTGGGCCGACTATGACATGTACTATGACGAGGGCGAATGGGTCCTGGACTATGACGAGACAGCCGATGCCTACTACCAGCAGCACTGGGATGAGGAGCATTGGAACGGCCTGGAAGAAGAACCAACGACAACCAGCTCAGGAGATCCCGAGAAGACCACAGACAAAGCCAATGACGCTCCAGCTGAGGAGTACTACGGTGGAAAAGGCCAAAGCAATGATGGCTGCTTTGTCTGCGGTTCCAAATGGCATCGTGCCCGAGATTGTCCAATGTCCAACAATAGCAAGGGCTCTGGCAAGGGATCCAACTTTGGCAAAAGCTATGGCAAAGGAAAAGGAAAGCCCAGTTTTGGAAAAGGCAAGGGCAAGTTTTGGCGATGGAGACCCTTCAGAAAAGGCAAAGGCAAAGGAAAAGGCCACTTTGGCCGAGGCAAGTTTGGAGGAGGCAAAAGTTTTGGCAAACGACATTGGTTTGCACATCCATCAGTGCGACCTGGTCTCAACATCATGGACGGCATCCCTGATGGATCTACAAGGACTTCAACGACACCGACAAGTGCTCAGGAGTTCACGATCCACACACCACCAAACGACCCTGATGGTCACAAGTTTGTGAGGATCACCACAGCCAATACAGACCCTGATGAAGAACAACATCAAGCCATTCCGCAGAGCGAGAAGAAGCACCTCAGCGCATTCAGCTTTGCCTTCAACTTCTATGAGTCAGCTGAATACTTTGCAGTTCGAGGTGAGAAGAGGAGAGGTCTGATTATAGACCCTGGTGCGGCTTCTGGCTTGATTGGCTGTGACACCCTGAAGGACCTCTTGGAGCACTGCATCCAGCCCTACGGCAAGGAGATCTCCATCGACAAGAGCATCACCTCCCCTGTGAGCGGCATCAGTGGAGGTTCAGACAGAACCCTTGGCCAGGTAACAATTCCCCTGGTGACTGGTGGCTGCCCAATCACGTTCACAGGCGAGGTCATTGGAGGTGATGGCAGCATGTGCCCAGCCTTGGTCGGCAACCCATCTTTGCGGAAGATGAATAGCACCATCTTCACCAACTACTTCAACAATGGTGACGGTCTGTTGGTTTTGGATTCAAGGTCCGATGACACTGGATCCTTGAAGATGCTGCGAATCCTCCTCACAGATTCAGGCCACTATATCTTGCCGACTGACCATGATGCGACAGCCAAGGTATCGCAAGAGACCCAGAAGGAGGTTGCAGTCTTCTGGAACAAAGTAGCTGCCGAAAGCTGCCAGAGATGGAAGGATGTCAATCCCAAAAGGCTTCACATCTTCCACACGTCATCTGATGCGACATCACACGCAGAAGGTGACCGGGGTGAAGCGAAGATCAACGACGATTACGGAGCACTATGTCATGATGATCATCAACTTTCTGGACAACAACATGGAGCACAACTATCTCCTGAAGTATCACATGACGCTTCCGATGCCAATGCCGACATCCTGGACCAGAACGTGAAGAACCCTGGCAACAAGAACGATGGTGATGATGAAGCCGGCATTTTGCCGCACATGGACAACGAGATCAAGGCTGTGACTGGCATTTTGCCCCATCAAACACCAGCCGACGACAGCAAGTTTCACACCAAGAGCGAAGCCTCTGGCAACTTTTTTGACACGGAATTCACTGCCAGCTTGACCTCTGAGGCCAGTGGCAAAACCATTTCTTTTGACGACAACGTCACTTTTCATGACAACACCTTGCGTACAGTTTGCACTGATGAAAAGCCCTGCGGTTTCACCAATGACACCAAGGAGGACGACATCCCTCACTTCCACACTGAGGAAGATTTTCCTCCCTACACGGGAGACACTTTTCCCGAAGGTTTTGATGATGCACGTCTTCGGAAAAAGTACAAGGCCATGCCTGAGGAGTACTACACGCGCACAGGCCTCAAACCTGTGACGCCGAAGAACTTTACCAAGTGGTTCATGCATGCGAAGGGCAAGAAACTTCGATGGCATTTCTGGGAAGTCTTTAGCGGCTCTGGACGCTTGAGCCTGACCATGCTTGTGGCAGGTCTCACAGTTGGCTTTCCCATTGACATGCGCTACGGCTGGGACGTTGGAAATGCCTGCCATCAGAAGTATCTTCGACAAGCTCGAGATGAATTTTGCCCTGGTGTCATACACCTTGCACCAGAATGTGGCCCATGGTCAGTATCCTCTTCTTCGAAAGATCCAGATCAACGACAAGCCGAACGTCTTCAACAAAAGCCTTCTTTGGACTGGTCTGAAGAGACTTGTCATGTTCAGTCGAAACATGGTCGAGGCTATGTGGTTGAACAACCTTGGGGCAGTGCACTGTGGCAACCCGAGACACCACTCGACCTGACCATCAACATCGACAACAAGAAGAAGCAGAGAGCTGACCAATGTATGCATGGAGCCGAATGTGAAGGCTATCCAGTGCAAAAGGCCACAGGTCTTGGGGCAAACTTCAAGATGTCGAAGACAGCACTTCGCTGCTCTGGCCACAAGGGAACTCCTCATGCTCACCTTCAAGGACAAGGAGCAGATGGCCTTAACCGCACAGCTAAAGCTGCGGTGTACCCCAGGACAATGTGTCATCGACTTCGACAAGACATTGTGAACTTCCTCTACAAGCGAAAACTCTTGCACATCAAGGCCTGGCCTCAAGCTCTGAGCTGGTATGTGGCAGAACACTTTTACGAATGCACTCGCTGCCAACTTGGACGCTTCTGCCCAGATGGCATCCAGCACACCTTAATCCCAGGCAAGTGCAGACATGGCCGATACGCAGCCGGCACAAACCCAAAATCAAAGAAGGACAACTCTGCACCAGCTGATCCAGTCAAACAATGGAAAGACAATGCCGACAGAGACGTCTTGGAGGTTGTCGAGATCAAGAACCTCTCTGGCATTGACCTCTCCGTGAACAAGTCCCACTACCTGAAGAAGCTTCTCATGGAGGTGATTCACACATCACTTGGCCTCATCTCAGAAGCTGCCAACCGCAAGATTGACTACGAGCTCTGGGTCGAGAATGCGGTCTTCATGGAATTGTTCAAGGAGATCCTTTCTGACTTCATGCTGGTGAAGGGTGTTCGGATCTCACTTCGACCATTTCGAAAGTCTGGACCTGAACCACAGCTTGCGAAGGCATCTGCATACCTTCGACTCCACATTTGTGGACATATCAAGGAATGGACGATCCAACAACTGGAAGACACCCGAGAGATGTCCATCTCCCAGATCAACGAGAGCTTCGACGTCGACGACTGGATGATCACAGTCTTTGGA